GTGTTGGAGCAGGGAAAAATGTAAAACATGTAGGGCTGCGGCCCTCGAGGACCAGGATTGCCCACAGCTGGGTAAGATGAACCCAAAAAAAGGAAAGAATATAGGGACAAAAAAAACTACACAATTCCATGAAAAGATGAGCAAGATGTAAAAGTAATTACTATATATTTCCAGAGGGACAATTTATGATGGATAATTATGAGAATTTTAAATATTAAATACTGCTAAATTAAATGACACCAAGTGCTAAATATTTCAGAAGTCACAGTGAGATGGCTGAACTGAAATGTAAAAAATGAACTATTCTCTCACCTCAGTTTGGAGCAGAAGTAAGTGAAAATTTGAGATAGTCTTCTTGTTTATACCCAGGAACTCCATCTTGCTTGTTAAGGTGTTAGCCAGTTCTCCAATCTGAAACTACATTTTTACCATTACAATATTAATATGTTCTACAGGGAAAAGAAGAGCATCTGTTTATAGTGGGATAGCGGAGCTTACCTTTAGCTCAGGGGTCTCCTCCTCTTCTTTGACGAGAATTTTTGGAACCAATAAATCCTCAGACTTTTCTACCTCCCTGTCCTCTTCTTCTGCAACACCTTCTAAGACTTTAGGAGGTGCTAAAAACACACAATAAAGGTACCCAGTTAAGCAAAAACAAAGTGGAATTCTAAATAMTGTTGTCTTTTTAATACCATCATGCATGTGACTCCACAGTTGTGTAAWCACTTCAACTCACCCGGCTCTGTGTTGTCCAGTAAGTCTGAGCCTTGGCTGTTAGAATCGGGGCTGGCAACACACGGGAAGACAGTTTTCCACCTCTTCTTCTGTAGCAGACCAAGAGCTCCAGCAGCTTCTTGACTAGCTTCTGACATTGGACTGGAGCCCCCTGCACTSCCGTCACCCTCTTCAAGCGCCCGAAGCTCAGCCTAAAGAACCAGATGTTAACATAGAGTTACATCCAGGTCATTTCTCACTTTGTGCAGAAAAAGAGCAGTATAGGTAGATAAATAAGGTACTAATGCAAGTTTGACAAAACAATGACCATAAGATCAGCAATCTCATTCAAACATAAATCAAGTGGTCAAAATAATTAAGAGATAATGACAGCTTCAGAATAAYCCCTGACAGTTTTTAAGACCATTAAATTCCCCACCTTCTTCCTCTCTAGAGCCAGCTCCAGGTCCACTGTGTCCTCCTCTGGCTCGTCTTCACAATCAGAGTTGTTTCTCGACATCTTCTTGGTGCCAGCATCTTTCTGGACTGTGATGGCGGAGTCCAAATCCAGAAAGGGTATAGAAGGGGATCCAGAAGGCTTTACACCCTCTCCGTCAGAATCCAAACTGTTCTCTGTTTCATCCAAACCTTTAAGCAACCGTTTCCTCCATTTTTCCTCTGCTTCTTTAACTTCAGAAGGGATCAGTGGACCGAGGAGGGACGCAGCCACTCCCTGGCGCTCCTCCTCCTCACTTGTAAGACCTACAACACTTTCTATTACCTCCTGTTAGACAAACACAAGTATATTTGAACTTAGATGGGCGGGTCTGTGAAAAACACAGAAACAAGACTCACAATAACGCACACCTAAATGAAACTTGCCTTCACTTTGGTTTCCACTGGGGCTGTTGGCGTTGTGGMAGGAGCAGGATTTTTCTCGGTATAATAACCTGTGTGGGCTGAGCCATTTCCATTGACGCTGGTGATACAAAAAAATAAAACACTCCATTGTCAAGCAGAATTCTTCTATTAGAATTAAAATAAAGAATTTGAAAAGCATCATTTATTAACATGTTATTACGTTATAACAACGTGTTATTGCATGTTTCAAACATAAAGATGCAGTTTATCTCCTACCTGTTTGCATAATGACCCAGGCTTTGCACCTGATCAGCTAAATAGTTTGGCAGTTCCCAAGACACCTCATTGGTCAGAGTGTTCCAGTAGTAATAACAACCAGAGTTCTCGTCCCATACTTCCTGCCAGTCGCCCATCTCCACACCCACTGGAAAACAAGGACACAGACTTTGAGTTGTGTTGAAACAAACGGCGGYGTAATTTATTAACGACTTCTCACAATAACTCTATATGCCAATTAAGTTTAGCAATTAGCAGAATCTTTAAAAAGTGAAAACATATTCAGATTATAAAATGTACTGTTTTGACCACAAACCCTCTGGCTCAGGAAAGCAGATATTACAACACCAGTTCTTGTTGAAAATAAAAATCTTGAGCTTCAATTTCAATACGAGTTGGTTTAGTAGAAGAGCTTAATATTCTTTTTGTTTCTCTACACTCAAATGTTTTATTTTTTAAAATCAGGGTTTGTGAACTGTGTTCCTCACACCAGATAAACCAGCTTTCCCAATCACTCTCTTCAGGCAAAAGTTAAGTGACTGCAATGAYTTACAAATCATGCAAGGATTATTGTTACTATAAAACTCAAAAATGTGTTATTTTCTTTGCAGCACCTTGTATAAATACTTGTCTGCAGTCTGTGATTGGCTGTGGGAAAACAAAAGTAAAAATAGCTTTTGTGTAACAAGATCTGAATTGACTTTAACACCTGGTCAATAAAATATGTTTTAGGGGTAAATGTCAAAATCACTGGTTTGAAAAACACAACACCTGGCAGCTATTGCTGTTTAACTAAGGTATCTGCAACGTGAAACAACTTTAGCTGAAATGATGGTACCTACTATACACTTATTCTGAAAAAACAGATATGACAGTTACCTCCAGCTAATGAGTACTGTGTATTGTACTCAAAATCTGTGCCTTGTTGATCCTGTCCGTCCTCCGCTGGCTGCTGAGTTTTACTTTCAGGTTTGGGTGGGGCAGCGTTTGGAGCAGGAGCTGCTGCATCATCTGTACTTGGCTGAGTTGTGATTGCATCGATTTCCTAGAGTGCCAGAAATTATAACAAACATGGGTTGGGTTAATACATTTTCTTCCACAGAAAACTGCATTCTAAGCTTAGTTGAATATACAAATGTATGTGTTTTTGCATGCATCACAACTTAAATACATAATATTTGATATTATATACAAGGTGATTGTTTTGGATGTGATTTTWAATTAGTTCTGCCACTTTGACAGTGTAAAACTTAACATAAAACTGGAAAAGCTCTTCAATGACCAATAAGACCTATGAACCTATTTGTGACAATCATCAAAAGGTTAATAATTAGTACTAACCTAATTTTTACAAGAAAACAACTCGATTAGAGCTGCATTTATTTCTTTGCTGAACTGAACAAAAAACTCTTACATAAAAGATACTAAAAAGCATGAAGCAACCCATCATGACCACATTGGACTCACAGCCATGAAATTGGCCAATGTACTGTCGATGTCCGCAGGCTGGCTTTGTTGAGAATGAGCAGCTGAACGGTTTGCAGCATCCTCTTCGTCGCTGTCCTCATAGGCCCCAAGCAATGACAAACCCTCTAAATGAAAAAAGAAATACAAATTTGTTCAACTCAGTAAAAAAAAACGTGTTTCACGAGAAGCATATATTTGAATAGTTTTAACTTACCTGTGGCTTTTACTGTTGGTGCCTTCAGGCTGGTGTGTCTCACAAATCTGTGTCCATCACCGTCCTGTTCATCTGCTCAGAAAGAGTCAATAATAAGGTTTAAATGTTATTTGTAGCTGACAACAACCTTAACAGACATTCACATGGCTAGAAACAGATAACCTTTTAGGTTATTGGCTTACATTCGTTCTAAATGCATACAACATTTGTGTTAATTAGGTTTTGGTTGATTGAACCTGATCTTTGTTATTGTTCTATTAGCGGGCCTGCTAACTACAAGAGTTGTGTTTTTTTTTAATCGCTAGCTTAGCACGCTAGCCTTTACGATACTCTTTAAAATGGCAGTTTTAATCAGAGAAGAATAAAAGTACGCAATTTATGAACCGGTTTGCACCCAGTGTAGACTAAAACTCCGGTCATATAAACTTATTTATCTTTTTATAAACAAGATGGTCCATTTTTCAGGATGTAACCTTTTAGCTCCGACAGTTAGCCCTGAGCTAACACGCTAACTGTGCTAACATGTTGCGGACAGTACCATCGGATCCTGAGTTCGCTTCTTCCCTTTCTCCTGTAATCCCACCGCGATTCCCGGGAGGAGAGAGCTGTAGGATCGTTCTCCGGCCGACGGCTCCTCCTGCGAGGCGACTTTTCTTTCCCATTACTATTGTGATGGAGTGTTCCTAACGTTCACGCTCAGCTACTCCGTTCGAGGCAGGCACACTCAAAAAAAAAAAAAAAAGGAACTTCCGGCTAACAACTTCCGGTTCACGGGGTCATATTTTTGTTTGCCGTTAGCTAAGTAGCTAATGGCTGTAGAAGGCGTGAATCCTCAAATAAGCCAGAATATTCATACGTATTTCGAAAAGTTCTTATGGTTGGTGGTTCTAAGCAACAGTAAAAGGGTCTGTTTAGGTGAGCAGCCGGGGCGTAGCTAAACAAAACTGACATGGGAGGTGAGGAAAATGGATTTTGCGGTTCTTGAGCAGAGCCACCCACTGATGCCGGAGTTGAAGGATCCACCACAGAGTCAGCAGTTCACAGGGCTCCAAGGAGGACCAAAAGCCCGCACCAGTAGCGGATCAGACAAGATGGGGGCCGCGATGGGACCGATTCTTCACTGGCTGCAGGATGTAGCGGCTGTGACTCTCCTCAAAGCCCGGCGAACATTACTCCAGGCCGCCATCCTGCTCTGTGCTTTGGTTCTGCTGCTCTGGGTGTCTGTGTTTCTCTACGGGAGCTTCTATTACTCCTACATGCCCACTGTGAGCTTCTCCACTCCTGTGCACTTTTACTACACCTCTGATTGCGATGCCTCGCAGCCAGGTCTCTGCTCCTTCCCCACAGCCAACATCTCATTCATGAGGAATGAGAGAGACCAGGTGATGGCTAATGGTCAGCCTTACAGAGTGTCACTGGAGCTGGAGATGCCCGAGTCTCCGGTGAACGAACAGCTGGGTATGTTCATGGTCAGGATGTCTTGTTACACCAGAGGTGGGAAGATTGTGTCAACGGTGGGTCGATCCACGATGCTGCATTATCGCTCCTTCCTTCTGCAAACCCTGAACACTTTGTGCTTCTCTCCTCTCCTGCTGACCGGCATGGCTGAGCAGAAGCAACTCATAGAAGTGGAGCTCCACTCGGATTACAAGACAAACGCCTATGAACCCACGGTCGGTGCAGTCCTCCAGATCCAGTCCAAACAGGTCCAGATCTACTCGGCTCAGCTTCGCATCCATGCGTACTTCACTGGCATACGGTACCTTTTGTACAACTTCCCCTTGACGTCCGCAGTGATCGGCGTCGCCACCAACTTCGCCTTCCTCAGCGTCATCGCGCTGTTCGGCTACCTGCAGTTCATATGGGGCGGGCTCTGGCCTCCGGATCAGGTCAGAGTCCGGGTCATGATGGGAGACAACACTCGCATCCAGAGGAGGAGAGAGGAGGCTCGGAAGCGAATGGAAAGGGAGAATTCGCAGAAAGAGCTCTGCGCTCCGGCAGAAATTGGATCCGTGGATGGGACCTGCGGTCCTCAGGGAAACGGCACGTTAGCGGAGATGTCATCAGAGAACCCCTCTGTAAAGCCAGATGCCTCTGAGGCCGAAGCTCCGGATAACAAGGAAGAAGAGTCTCGTGATTCTGAGGAGCTAGAGGACACCGACAGCTCTGACGTGTTAAACAGGAGCCTTCCATCTCCGTCTGGAGAGACGTCGCTTCGCCAGAGACCCGGGCCTTGGATGAGTCTCTAAATCATTTATGCATAATAAATGTTGCATATCTACTCCTATCTTTGGCACCTTAAACACAGGTCATCAATCAYAGACTAAAACAACCCCACAGTTTAATGACATTTACATGCATGCACTATTTTATTTAAAAATTAGTTTACCTCGACCTTTGTTTTTCTGTTATGAAAGCACTGTTACAAGTCTTATTTTTGTACCAGTTGTGTGTTGCTGGTGCTCATATCATGAGGTGTTACATTCCAGTTCTGACATGTCATCAGATATTTGCCAACAATTCAACACACCCTTGTTTAAGTCAGCTGAACCTGCTTGTATTTTGATGTTTGCATGGTGGTATTTCCTCTCATCACAGCTCAATATTAAATAGGGCAAAGTTTTAAAGACTTCATGCTAAATTAATTCTAGACAGTGACTCTCTTCACTTGTAGGTCAAACGTGGTTCGGCTTGAGGTTTTCGGTGGTGCGCAACTGAAACAAAACTGCTAAAGCATGTGACTTCTCGTTTATCAGAAGTTTTTTCAGAGCGATTTAAATTGGAAATTTTGTCCAAGAAAAAAAGGTTCGTTGTTACAAATTCCCAGAAAAAAACAAACGTCGGTACAGAAAAATACCTTTTGTTTCTTCCTGTAAATCTTACGTTCTGCATCAGTTTGTGACGTGAAGCTTGTGTAGATTTACACAGTCACTTTGCAGTTTAAMATTTTTAAAAATGTTAATTTTTTTTTCATTACCAGTAGAAACRAAGCATTTTAGCTAAGTTATGTAGGTTCGTGCATAAGTGTCTGTATTTAATGAGTAGAGAAAAACGAGGATGGTGAGTTTTGAAGTCGATGCAGTTGCTAAAGCAGCTGAGTTCTAACAACGCAGGTCTTTAGTGGTGTTTAACCCGTAACTTCAGAGGAGCTTTGAAGATAAGTTGTGTTTTTGGTAGGTTATGTTATGGATGCAATATTTTGTACCAAAGATATTCTAAGAATTGGTGGTTCTTCTGAAGATACATGAGCACATTTTATTTATGCATTAAAAAAGAATAAAAGAATAAACTAGTGGCAGCTGTCTCTCATTGAATTATTATCTTTAGCTAAAAGGATTGGAAATTATCTTTAACACCCGTACTTGCAGACTTACAGAGCTTCTTATTTACAATGACATTTTGAGATGTCTCCAAAGAAACCGATTTATTTGATAAATACTGTTGAAATTAAAGGCCTAACATTCCTTGAAGGAATGCATGTTACTTCTTTTGATGTCAGAGTTTTAGACCAATATTTCACTCATARTGCTGAATGAACAGGTTTGCAATTAAAGATCATGTGATTTTGTCCTTCAACACACAAGTCCACACACTAAAGCTTGGTTTGCACAACAARTTAGAAGGATTTTTAGTCATAAAACCATTTTATTTTGTAATGACGCTGTAAATGCATGGTTTTGTSTATGATATAGGGTTGAGCAATATCATACTCTGTGCAATTAATCGTCAGAAAATCTTTAATCGATTGTTTTTTGGCACTTGACGATTCATACGATTAATGCCAGCAGGCAGATTGACTGCAGATGTCTCTGGTCAGTCCATTCGGTGCTCCTCTATGCTTCAAATATGATGAACGTTTTAAAAAAAGTTCCTTTATTTATCATAACCCCAGTTTTACTTAATCAAACAACACAATTTAAAAATTGATGTATAGCCTGAAGTCTATACTTTTGACACAATTTGGAACAGATTTATACGGAGAGCAAATCTTTCTCACTAGAGTGATTTAAATTGGTCATATAAAAAGGACATGCAGGTGTCCAGAGACTTCAGGGGATTAATCGTCATATTAATCGTTATCGGCTAAATACCACAATTAATCGTGATTTTTTTTTTTTTTTGCCAATATCGCCCAACCCTTTTATGGTAGCACAAAAAAAAAAGTTTCCAATGTGTTCAACACAAAGCTGAGGAAAAAAGTGGAAACAAATAAATTTTAAATTTAAATCCCAAATTTTCAAAATAAAGCAGATTTGCCACACTTTTAATGTCTTGTTAAAAAATGGTCTAAAACGCCTCCAATCACATCCTGCAAAATGGCACTTATTGTTGTTTAGAGAACATCTTTCCTGGTACACTGGGGGAAAACAAAACCGCCTTCATTATCTCTTTCTAACCAGAAGCTTTTGGTGATGATATTAAGGTCCATTARAAGTCTTTATTCAAAACCACAGCTCCAATCCATCAGATGAATTATGCATTTGTCAGGATAAAGAGTGCAGTCAGCGACTTCCACCATCCGTCATTTCTGTTCCAACCTCGGCTGTTTTTAGTCTCAGCAGGTACCGGAGCTATTTCAGGCTGCACTGACGTTCTTTTTAACAATTCTCAGTGCGTGAGAACTCCCAGGTGTCAAATTGTGACTTAATGTTATCACGATGGCACAGAAACAACCAAACACTTTGCTGAATTTATCAAGTAAAATACAAACCAGCTGTTACACGTGTGTTATAATACTTGTAAAATTACATTAAAATACTGCAAGAAATCCGTCTTKCGCTTGAAGATAAAATGACTAAAACTTTGGCTTTGTTCATGGCATGCTAAGTAAAAGTCTAAACCTAATCTTGTACATGCCACAGTTTTAGAACTGTTTTATTTTTTGTGAATCATTAAAGTACCTGTGACATGCRYRTTCTTCAAATATACAAAGTCAAAGAAAACATCTTTATATTTAAGAAACTTGACATAATACGMGTGRTTTTACCTATTTTGTCCCTTAACTGGCATATTTTCTTTTGAACTTGGCTCAGCCAAAATGAAACAGGAAGTGACATCAAAAGGGAACTCTTTAAGAAAGAGAACTCTCTGGTCTTTGTTTATTGAAACATTATTTTTTGATTGTTCACCTCTGTCTGGTAGTGATTCAAAATGATGTGCAGAAACATCAGATTCTTCTCTACAGTCTGTCTTGTTAGCAGTTGTAGCGACGCTCTGTTCACATTCAGACATTCCCCTTCGACATCACTTCCTGTTACTTCTCATGCAAGTATCTCAACGACTGTTCGTCTCAGCAACATAAAAATAGTTTTGCAACATGTCATGAGTGTTGTCTTTCCAAAAATGAATTCAAATTWGTGACAAAAAATTGACGTCACARGCACTTTAAAGTATTTGGATGAAACCAGATGACAGTCTGAGTCTGAGCCCCTCGTCACAGCTGAAGCTCTCCTTCTTGCTCCTGATCCTTTTGCTTCTCCTCAGGCTGGACCTCCGCCGCCTCATCGGCCGTCTCGCCCCCTGCTTTCGTCCCGTCCTCTTCCTGTTCGTCGTCSGTGCTGTCGGCCCAGCGCCCGACCCTTCTGGCTCCCTCGCCCACCACCGGGGCGTTGACGCAGGGATTGTGGTCGTATATGATGAGTTTCAAGCCGTTCAAGTGCGACAGGTTTGGGAAGCATCGTATTCTGTTCCGATCCACGTCTATAATGGCCAGAAAGTGCATTTCCATCAACACCGGTGGGAACTCTGTCAGCAGGTTCCCCGCGAGCCAGATGCTCCGCAGCTCCTGCAGCTGTTTCAGACCGCTCGGCAAACTGCGGATGAGGTTGTAACCGAGGTGCAGGGTCTTCAGGTTCGTGAGCTCACAGATAACCTCGGGGAACTCCGTGAAGCAGTTCGTCTCCAGCCACAAAGTTGTAAGTTCCCTAAGATCTCGCAGCTCCCTGGGAAGGCAGTGTAACCTGTTGTTGCCCAGGTACAGGATGCTGAGCTGGGACAACCTGCAGACGGCCGGGGGGAGCTCCTCGAGGCAGTTAAAGTCCAGGGCCAGGAGCTGCAGCCTCCTCAGGCCCTGCAGCTCGGCGGGCAGGCTGCTGAGGCTGTTGTCGCTCAGGTAGAGCTTCACCAGCTCGTCGAAGACGCAGGCGGCGACGGGCAGCCGGCGCAGCTGACGGCCGCTCAGGTCCAGAGTTCGGTCCGGGGGCATCTCCTTCAGGTCCCCCACCATGAAGCGCTGACAGCGCTCAGAGGGGATGAAGGCGACGATGCCTCGCACGGCGTTGCCCATCTCTCTCGCTCAGTTCCTCTCGTGAACAACTTTAGATCGGTGCGAGACGAGGGTTGCGCTCAAGCAGACATCTTTGAGTGAGYTTCATGAAGTCCCATTAATGCTCCTCCAGCTCCCATCTGTATTTATTGATTTTTATGGAAAAAAAAATCTAATTAGCAACCATTCAAAAGCTCTTTGTAGCCGTCGGATCCAGCTTTCACATGACTACAATGTGATTTCAATATTTTATGGGCGAAGGTCACAATGTTGACTAAAGTAACTATCACACAGGTTTAAAACAAACAAAAAGGATAAAAGTAATTATGAACATACTTTCCGAGATCTTTCAGCTCATATCCACGACTCTCAGCATCCATCAGTCTGCCATTTGTTTATCCAACTTAATGAGCTGCAAATGTATTGTCTTCCCTGTGCTGATACTCCCTGGTGGTGTCCTCTCACTAGCTCTCAGTGGTGTGGAGCTCTGCCCTGACTGTCATGGCTATAGCAACCACCAGTTTCTCTCCTCCCCATTTGTGCCTAATGACTTTCCCCCCTTCTTCTCCAGGATGACAGAAAAGATGGGAGGGGCATTGTGGAGTACAACAGCAGATTAGGAATGAAATTACAGCAAATATACTTTATATTCTGCTCTAATCTGAGTGTTTCAGAGTCTGTAAGAAATGTGTGATATGTGCTTTATTGTGCACACTAAAAGCGGGTGGGTTACAAACAAGTCAATTTGTAAGCCAGTGCTGGGTCGAATTTGGACCGAGCCTGACCTGAGTGGTTTTAACTAAGTTCTATCTTTGACCCAACTACTGGGTCAAACATTTCAACACATTTAGTTAAACCAGTCCAAGAGTTTTAACCCAACAACTTAGTTTTTTTTTTTTTCAAAACAACCCAGCAGTTTTCAGTGTGCTGCATGTCACTTTTTTAATTAGCAAAGTTAATAAACAAGATTATGAGATATACTTCTTGCTCAAAATTGTTCAGTCAAGACAAACTGCAAAATAAGGATTTAATTCTCTATATAATAATAATAATAATAATAATAATAATAATAATAATAATAATAATAATAATAATAATAATAATAATAAAGTTTATTACTCATCTTTCTTTATAGAGCAGCCGCTGCATGTGATCTCGGCCTGCCGGAGGTAGGATCTGTCCATGCAATCTTGTATGTTGTCATTAGGKTTATTTTCTAACCAGATAAAAGGGAAAGGAATTTGGTTTTCTTTATCAGAGGGGCCAATACTTGACCCCTGTCTGCTTTCACTCACTGGAACACCATTTATAGCACTTCCCTGCTTCCACTCACTGGCAGGGCCTCTCAAGTACAACTCAGACAGAGGATGCAACTATAATTTATTCACTCAGAAAAGCTCATATTTGTGGTTAAAATACTTGGAACTAATTCTTTTCTAATTTGGGCAGTGACCGTTATAAATATATTTCAGTTTAATTAATTTAGTTTTAATTTACCAAGGAAGTACCAATTAGTCCCGGGTCTTAATTATCTGCGCTGTCTTATAAATAGACTAAACACACATAGAAGTGATAAACTACTGGAATGATGTCTTAAAATACATTTTTTACAGCAGATCATAAAGATAAAACTCAAATGCGTAAAGGACCAATCTTAGTTTCTATTATTATTATTATTATTATTATTATTATTATTATTATTATTATTATTATTATTATTATTATTTACCTCTAAACAAAACATAATGCAAAATAGCATGAAAAATATCACATTAATCATCACATAACCAATCAGATGTTTATAAAAAGACCTTTAAAGTTTTTTTTTTCCTTTAAAGTTATTATGGTGACATTTAAAGTGCACTACTATATGTTTACACCAGAACATGAAGTTATGGCTGGGGTTGTGAAATGTTTTCACGTCGATATYTATCAATGGACACCACTACAGAGATGAAGCGGTTAATTCTCGCGCGGTCTGCGCAGGCTTCAGGTTTGTGTACGGAAGTGGTCAGCGGGTTGAAGGTCAGAGAGTAAAGGCTACACTTCTTTCGACTGGAAGTATACACAGCCATCTTGGATCTAACGAAGCGAAGAGAAATTGATGCGGTGGGGTTATTTTACTTACTAACACTCATGTCAAACGAGTTATTAGAAATGTAATCTCCCAGCTGGAGCTTTTTGTTGAGTTTCGGTTCCGTTTCGATTCGTAGCAGGTCGTTAGCATTAGCATTAGCTGTGTTTGTTGCAGCTTGCTTGCGAGCGGAGCGTAAAAGTTAGCCGAGCGAACAGACAGCTGACTAGAAATACGAGCACAAGAGGAGGTTCATTACAGCCATATATTGACTGCTTCTTAATCGCTAAGTCGTAGTGATTTGTAACTAAAAGGTTGTTATGTTCCCCCGACCATCTCAGTGGCTCAAATTATGCTATCAGAGCACCTAGCATGCTAACCATAGCCTCTTAACGTCAAGTGTGTTGGCTAACCTGTTAGCATTGCTGCTGTTTTTATTCACAATCAAACTCTGAGATTAACTCACACAAACACAATCTGAAGATGATCAACTTGTTTTGTTCGTAGCTATTTTATTTTAGGGTGCTCTGATTAAATTTATCTACTATTCTGTTATGAAAGTTCAACATCTTTATCCAAATTTATAAGTTTATCAACACTTCTCAAGTATTCTGCAAAAATATTGATAGTTCCCTGTTAATTTTTTTTATTTTGTTTCCATTTATCCAGAATGCTGTTTCAGTCTTTTTAAAGCGATCTTGTGTAATGTTTCTTTGAGGTTTCTGAAGTCTCTTTAAGATTTTTTTCACATATTTAGTCGTTATTTTTACTTCAGTAATTGACCATTTTGAGGAAAAAAAAGTTTTCCTGTTTGTTGAGCTGCCTATCTGTGATCTGTGAATCATTTTGGCATTAAAAGGCTCCTAATCTCAAGAGATGAACCACTGTTGAGTCTGCACATCTTAGACAATAATAACCTATTTTAAAGTTGATCTGTAGTCTCTTTGTTACCAGCAGCTTGTCCTAAAAACATTGTTTTCAGGTGTGTTTATGTAAATCAGCTTGAAACATATGTAAAGATTCTACCAAAATAAGCGTGTTTAATTAAAATGAGAAAAATGTTGATGCAGCCAGGACCTCCTTATGTCTCTTATCTATTTTTTATTTCCCTGATTTCAGTTTTAATAGAGTTATCACTTTCTCTAGGTGACAAAAGGCATGTTTGGTGCTAGAAAGAAATTTCCAGATTTTGTCGAGGTAATCGATAATGACTTCTCTGACGATATGTACTACAACCAGCCATCGATGTTTCCACATCGATCGGACAAAGATGTAAGTTTTGACCTCATGCCTACGTTGTTCAGTATTTTTCTCTTGTTACCTACTATGCTGCTTCATTCTTAAATCTTTCATTCCAGATACTTTCGTCTCCTTCACCGTCGTCGTCTGGTCAGCTGTCACAGCTTGGTCCAAGTTTGTACGGTCCACAAAGTGAGTGCTTGCAGAAAACCTCATGCGTTATTTTTAAAAAGGACAGTTGTCACCAAAAATGTGTGACAATGAGTTGAAGTGAAATGACCATAAAGTGCAAAGATTCCTGTCTTGGTTTTCTGACAGTTTTAGGAGTTTATCCTGTCTTTCTTCTTGTTTTTCTCGCTGCAGGTGCAATCGGTTTCCCCGTTAGAAGCCTGGGAAACAGTACACCTCAGTTAAACCGAAATCTAACACAAGGGACGCAACTACCAAGTCATATCACCCCAACAACAGGTGTTCCCACCATGTCCCTCCATACACCTCCATCACCAAGCAGGTGTGTGTTGTTGCTGTTTTTGGAACATTTGTCTTGTCAAAGTGAAAYAACCATGATGCTGGTTTTACAGGGGGACGTTACCCATGAACACGAGGAACATACTGAATCACTCTCAGGTTGGTCAAGGCATTGGAATAAGCAGTAGGACCAATAGTATGAGCAGCTCAGGGCTTGGAAGCCCCAACCGCAGCTCACCCAGCATCATCTGTATGCCCAAACAGCAACCAGCACGYCAGCCCTGCACCATAAGCAGGTAGATATATCTTGTTGATTTGATTTTGTGGAATTCTGCTGTAAAAATATACATTTCTTAAAACAAAGATTAAATCTTATAATTCTCATCTCAAGAATAAACATCTGTACGCTGCTCCTCTCTTCTGTTTTGCTTCTGTTTTGTCTTTGCAGCATGTCTGGTTTTGGTATGAACCGTAATCAGGCTTTTGGAATGAACAACTCGTTAGCAAGCAGCATCTTCAATGGCACAGGTTGGTGGAGTTGTAAAGTTGCGGTATGTCTAGTTTACAAAAAACATTTATTTAATATGTTATCTCTTACTGAATATGTTTTTTTTTAATTTTTCATTTTGCTTTCAAGAGCAAACTACTTTTTTTCTATGATATGAAACAACCATTAATTTTGCCATTAAATGCGTATGAAAAATCAATCTTTTACAGGATGTTTATAACTCATACTCTATAATAAAACTGTAATATCAACTAGGAATGCRTGATATAAACGATATACGGTAGAAACGATATAAATTTGTCCTATGATAGAGATCTGTTGTCTACCGGTCAACCGCACATTATAGATATCTGCATCCATTGGATGGATTAAAGTTAGTGTGTGTGTGTATGTTGTGTGTGTGTGTCCTTGTTTTTCGTACATCGTGGGGCCCAGTTTTAAGGAAAACGCAGCATCGTGGGTTCCGGGTGCTACTTGTGGGGCCCAAAGCCTGGGCCCCACAACTTCAGAGGCTGATTTTGGGTGTGAGGGCTGGGTTTAGGACCAAGGTGTGAATTGAGTTTAGGTTAGTTTTAGGGTCAGGTAGGTACCTGTGAGGTTAGCCTTAGGGTTTGTGGTCAGGGTTAGGATATAAAATTACCAAAAAATGAATGGAAGCCAATGGACGGGCCCCACAAGGATATAAAAACAAGTTTGTGTGTGTGTGTGTGGTGATATTTGATTTAACCAGGTAGATCTCCCTTAAATTTAGATTTTTATGGGAGACTTTAAAGTGTCCCTTTAAAAAGGAAATTTTAACGTCTAAATTTTTTTACCTATACATATTTATTCCACTCAATTAATGTGTGATTTATTTATTTTCTATTATAAGTTTTATATCGTGATATATTTCGTTACCGCCGCTCATCATAATGTATATCGTGATATGAATTTTTTGCCATATCACACATTCCTAATATCAACCTTACAGTTTTGTAAATTATGTTTTGTTTGACTATATTCTGGGGATAAAAAGGGCAGACATTATAAGATTTATTCTTCTTCTGCTACCTTTCATTTTATTTAGATTTTTGATTTGTGTATTTTCTTTGTTTTTTTTTATTGTACGCTATTTTTTAAATGAAATGAATCAATTTTTTGAATTGAAAAAAAAAAAACAGTTGTCACATTGATAAACTAAAAGAAGGTAAAAGTGTATTATCCTGTTATTGCAGATGGRGACAGTGTAATGGGACTGGATCTGTCAGACTTCCCTGCTTTAGCAGACCGGAATCGGAGAGAAGGAACCGGAAATCCAGCACCGTTGCCCAACCCACTGGCTGGACGGGCTCCTTACGGTAGGTCATTAATATTTTGTTTTCATCTCTGTGTGTTATATCTGTGAAGGTATTATCTCACTGGGCTGTGACAGATGAAGAAAAGTTGTGACTCAAAATTGTGAAAAAATAAGCAAAGTTTTGTTGCAACCTCAGTAGATTCTGAGGGTTTGCCACCAAAGTGCAATATAAGCTGCTTAAATGGGCTAGGTAATGTGAGGAGGGCCATCATCCAGGTTAGCTCAGAGAGYCGCTCCTTTGCATCAAACAGTCAGTTGAGGTGGTTCAGGAATCTGATTTTGGCAAGTTCAGCTGGGGCAGACTCAGAACTTGTTGGAAAGACTGCATATCTTTTATGGCCTGGGAACGCCTTATGGTCCCCCAGGTGGAGCTGGAAAGTGTCCTTGGGGTGAGGGACGTCTAGTTCTCTCACTTGAACCCGTTGTCTAAAGATAAGTGGTAGAAGCTGGAGATGGAGCTTGTACATCTGTATTCCAGCTAGGGTTGGGTACGGAAACTCRATTCYGGCATGGCACCGGGGCGAACATCATCGGAGGTAAACAGACCGAAACACAACTCTAACTTCGGTGCCTCAAAGAAAGCTGTTACATTGCGCCCTCTGGTGTTCACTGTTAACAGTGACAGCCTCGGCACACAATGCATCTCTCCAAGTGAGYTCCACAGCCGCTCTGTCTCTGAACCTCCTCTCCGGTGGTTCGGGTAGAAGCGAGTACAGCACGCTTATGATTTTAATGTCAGCAGAGTTCTGCCCGTGGATTAACTCTTGGATTGACTGACAGCAAATTTCCTCCTGGTGAGAGCTGCTTTTGTTTAGGAATACAAGCATGCGGCGTGATATGACGACGGAAAATAAAACTGCCTTTTTGGTGATCGAAAAGGCAGAACTTGTAAACACTTCCTGGATAGAGGTGAAGGAGGATTCAAACAAACTGGCTGCCCGCTGTTAAACAAGCATTTAGGTATAAACAGCACATAGATAGATAGATAGATAGATAGAGCGGGTAAGATAAGCATTGGACACATCACCATTTTTCTCAGTGA